GGATGTGACTGTTGCGATTCGGCGTTTTCGTCAATCTCATAGTCCAGGCCCTGATGGTGTCCCAGTAAGCATTTTATAAGCCGATGCAAATACGATTTTCCCGTCCCTCTTATGCAAGATATTTAATCTTGCTCTTGAAACTGAAACCTATCCTACCTTGTGGAAGGAAACACACATTTTGCCCATTCCTAAGCACGGCAAATCTACATCATTTGATGACTTTCGGCCAATAAATACCCTCCCCGCAGTTTCGAAGATATTAGAGACATTGATCAAGGATAAGATGATGCGTCACTTAACAGTGAATAACTTACTGAGTGCTGCTCAGCATGGATTCCTCAAAGCTCGATCTTGTGACACCTGTCAGCTCTCTTTCTTTGACTATGTTCTCCAATCTAGGGACAATGGTTCTGCACTTTACACAGTATATTTCGATTTCACTAAGGCTTTTGATCGTGTTGACCATGCTTTTATTCTCTTGAAACTGTCCTCTTTCGGAATAGGTGGCAAACTTTTAAACTTTATATCCTCTTACCTGGGCACTCGTACACAACGAGTTAAGATTTCCAATACCATCTCCAACCCCCACACGTGTGAGAAGTGGAGTCATTCAGGGAAGTGTACTCGGCCCGCTTTTATTTTGCTTTTTCGTTAATGATGTACCCAATTTATTTCAGAATGGTAAGCCTTTCATGTATGCCGATGATCTTAAAGTTGCAAACCGATATAAGCTGGCAGATCGTGACATCGTGCTTGAGCTCCTAAAGAGCGATCTACAGGCTTTCGCCCAGTGGTGCCGCACATGGCGCCTTTCTCTTTCTTGACATAAGTGCTCAGTCATGGTGGTTGGTGACGACCGCCAACCTCAACTAAGTATTGAAGGTCACGCCATAAATGTGCCTGGGGTTATTAAGGATTTGGGCGTCTCATACTCCAAGAGTCTCAATCTCTGGGAGCACTGTGCCTTGATAGTCTCCAAAGCACGTAGAACGACCGGGTTCATCCTCCGAAACTTCAAAACTAAGGACATTAGAATGCGCCTTTTCAACATGTACGTTAGACCTGGTCTGGAATACTGTTCGTTTCCATTTAGCCTCATGCGTGCTACTGAGCGGAAGAAAATAGAATCCGTTCAACACTTTTTTACCAAGAGAATTTTAGCCGCGGAACACCGACATTTGTCTTTCCATGAACGTTGTCGGCTTACGGGCCTTGATCCTTTATTGTTCCGTAGATTGCAAAAGGGACTATTTTTGCTATTTAAACTCTTATATAATCACACATTCAACCCTCTCACTTCTTTAAGACATCATATCCACCCACGACGTAACAGTCACCGCGAGGTCTTCTTATGTCTGCCTCTGGCACGTACTGTTAAATATCGTCGGTTCTATTCTGTAAATGCAATTGCTATTTGGAATAAACTACCAATGAGTGTGAAAACTCTGCAAAATTATCCTTTATTTAAGAGAACTATTACTCGATTTTTGCATTCAGAAAAGCTTCCTCAAATTTTGGGTTCTGAATCCACTGATCGACTCTACCGTAACGATGGCGTTTGTGGTCTCTGAACACTATGGCCGGTCACACCAGCTGTTCCTCAACGCCTCTAATTTGACTATCCCCAACTTCATGAATGGACTTGACGTCCGATGATCTCCGATACCGTGTAACCCCCTCCCCCCCCCCTTCTTGACGGTCGAAAATCTACCGCCAGCAGTTTTTTTTCTCCTGAACCCTCCAAACCATAAAAAACATCATCAACTATATTTTTATTCTTCAGGAGTTTTTTTTACTGCTGATCGGATTTGCGTTTAATCGCTTCCCTTGACAATGCCTGTAAACTGACATTTAATAAATTAAATTAAATTCAATTATGTTAATAAGGTCAGGCTGTCTAGTACTCCGTTGCTACAGTCACATAAAATGTGATAAAATAACAGTTTAGAAAAGGAAGATCTCTTAAGATGCGTGGTGTACTTCATGAGCTAGTGTGGCTTCTGGGATGTAAATAAACGTTTTGCTAAGCTGACTAGTGCGTAAAGAACGAAGGAAGAAAATGTGCTTTTTTCTGCACACTCCAGTAATTTCCTACGCTGCACTGGGTACCAGGCCCACAAAACATTTAAATCAGCTTAAAATCTCCTGCCGTCACCGTAAGCTACCAGAATAATGAATTTCTCGATTACGAATGAAAATAAGTGTGAAAATGTACTCCGTATTTCATGGCAAACCATACCAGATACTTCATCAATCATACGATAACCAGCTAAACTAGTGTCAGTAAGGCACACTGGAGTCAGCTGCAAGGAATGATGAACACTTGCTTAAGGCATCAGTTGCTAGACGACTCGAAGCCTGTGGTACCTCAATCAATCAGAGATAAATGACATATGTTGGACCGGACGACACACGCAGCACTAGTTTATTCAGAACTCCGAAAAGTGCTGTGTCAAACGCACCGCCAGCGATTCTAATAGAAAGTTTTCTGAACATGATTGACATCAAGTGGGGTGAAGGTGCTACTGTAGGCGAGAATTGAAAGTACCCAGTTGGGTAGAGCGGAGGAATTTTCCGAAATCCAATTATGGACACCATGCTTGGAATAGGTTGAGAAGGTGAAGTGGGTCGTCAATAGGACAATTAGTCAGCAAAGGTAGAAAAACTTAAAGGTCTCTAGATTCTGGAAGCAAAACCGTGGATGGGTAGGTCAGTCCACGGAACCAAAGAGAAACGCAACGGACGTAACACTGACACACACCTACAGGAAAATATGAGATAACAATGTCACCATAATAGAAGTCAACGGTCAGGTTGGCGCGGTTAAACAGCAACTCCTGGCATTAAGAATTACACTATATTTCAAACCGAGCTCTACTGCCTAACCGTGACCACTAATCCTAACTATCTACCTATCACTACTATCCACTATCCCTGACTCCAACTTACCTTCCGGTAAGACCCAGCGTTAAGTTTGCCGACAACGGTAACCATACTCAAAGTCGGTAACACGAAACTATGCAACATGTTCAAATCCTTGACCAGAACCGTTGTGCTCAGACACATAAATAACCCTAACTATAATGCTATTTTTAACGTCAGCACTAAAAGTAAAACATAAACATAATTCTTGCCAATCATAATCCTCCACTAAATCTTGGTCGCACACACTTAATCTAACCCAAATGTGAACACCTAACAGTAAACATGAGCACCAACCCCCAGGACAACTGCTATCCATGAACCACCCCTGGTCAAGGCAATTACGTTTTTAGATTTTTGTCCGGTTGCCTTTTGAGTAAAGCCAACTAGACCTCAAATCTTTTAGGATTAGATTTAAGTACAAGGAATAGTCCTTTGATTTGCGCGTATATTGCTACTACCTGTTGGCATTGTGTAGCTAGAAGGTTTTTTGCGGTCATAATCGAGATGCATTTGACAGCTTTGTCTGTGACGCCTCAAGAACAGGCCTGAGTTGCTCAAATGATGTGAATAATTCTGGCCCGGATCACAGATAAGGATGGTAAAACAGCATGTCGGTGGAGATATCCGATATCTCTTTCCTCGTAAATGGCGACCACCTTCGAACAAAACGCCCTGCAATGTTTCTACCTGGCCCGTTACATCGGGAGCTTCAACGGCAATTCCCTGCTGTTCATCACGTTGCAGCTATCCAAGACCGACTCTTTGGCTGGCATGTCGATGGCACCATTCCATCCAGGCGAATCACATCTTTGATGCAAATAATCCTTCTTTTTACCGCCAGTTATTAATGTATACAGATATTAAACGGTAGAGGGACTCTCGCCAGCCGCGTTACTGAGCTCGCTCGTCCCATTGTGCATCTGAGCCCTCTCAAAACCCACCAGCAGACGCAAAGCGGCGCGTAATATGGGAGTATGACCGTTGTGCCCGAAAATGCCCACCGTTTGCTATAGGTAAGGTGGGACAGGCACGGTGACTTGCAAGTGAGTTAGTTTCTAGTGAGTATAGACCTACGCAGCATCTACCGTAACATCTCTCCTTTCCGCCTGAATCCGGTCTCAAGACACAGTCAACAAGAGAGGAGTTGGCAGAGGGCGCAGATGGCCGGCGTGGCCGGACCTGCACCTTGTCGTACCACCACACCCCCTGGTCACAAATAACCAACTATTGGTCAGGATTTTAACCAACAGCAAAACAAACGGGTCAGAAAGAGGTGAATGACTGGGCAGATATGCACATGATCTTATACCCAGCGGGAGCGCAAGCGCATATACCAACGGGGAACCAGGTGCTAGAGGATTGCCAGCTCACACCAGACCGAGAGGACCCTGGCTTCCTGAATCAGGGCATAGCAGACGCATTCAAACCATAAGGTCCAAAAGAGTAACATACAGCACTGCTCTGAGCCTGGGCTATCATCCATCAGAGGCCGGGTAACCAGTCAATCGTCGGCTGAGAGATATTACCCGTATACACACACACACTCGCCACATGCGCGAGAATTCCAAGGGTCACGTTAGGAAGGAGCCGTGGCAGCCTGACTCTCAGTCCATCAGTCGGACACTTCACACAGACACACACAACTCGGCTGACTGCATGGACTGAGTTGTGGCGTCAGTCGTTACTTTCCAAACCACAACGCTTGACGCATCATGATAATCTCAGACTCAGAGAAAACATGCAGCAGAGTAGCCACATGGAGTAGGAGCCGAGAATAACACTCCTCACGTGAGTGGTAGGTGACAATTTAGTGCTTGCCTTGCGTGGTGACAGGTGTTGCTGTTGTGTGTTGCAAGTGCTGGTGAGGAAAGATGTAATGGTGTGTTGTAGCCGGTAGTTGTCTACCGCATGTTTTCAGCAATGCGCATGAGACTTAGTAGGCCCATATGGTAACTGAATGTTCGGGCGTCGTGAAGCCAGTGGAGGCGGATGCGGCGAGTGTAGGTTGGTGCTCCAGTTACTGGTTCGTCAGTCTCTGTGCGACGGATTCGCAAGTGACCGACCAGGCCGATATGTTAGGTGAGTGTGCGATTGCAATAAGGACAGGTTTGGACCGAGCCCACATCGCTGGATGTGGGGGTGTTGGTGGTGGCGGCGGCGGCGGCGGCGGCGGCGGCGGCGGTGGTGGTGGTGGTTGTGGTGGTTGCTGTGGCCGACGCGTAGGTTGGCGGTTGGCGATGGTGTCGGTGGCCGATGGCGGTGGGCAGCGACAGTGTGATCGGCTGCGATGAGGGGGCGGTCGGCGCGGGATTTGCGGCAGGGGTGACAGTGGGAGAAGAAGTATAAGTTGTTGGCACATTGCGTTTGAAGGTGTCCCATGAGACCGATTCGCGCATGGGATGCGCATTTGCGGCGCTGACATGTTGGAAGCGGTTGACGGCTGGTATTGAGGAGGCACTTGTGACTTGCGAACCTCTATCTGGCTTTTACGGCAGCAATCCGACTTGTTTCGTACATGGCTGCGCCTGTCGTCACTTTTCGTCTTCATGCCGGTCTCTTCCGGCCTAGGTCGTCCCAGGCCCCCAGATTGATTTGCAGTCGTTTCAGAGAACCCTTCAAAGTGTCCTTGTTGCGTCTTTTTGTCTTTCTAGTCTGCAAATACCCGTGTTGACATTCACCGTAGAAGAGCTAATTCGGTAGACGCTTGTCCTTTATCTCCGAGACATTGCCATTCCAACGCAGTTGTATTTGTATCAACATGGCGTGAATGCTAAGGATTCCTGTCCGTTCTAGGGTATCTATGTCAGGGATCCTGTCTAGACATCCCAACTTTTGTATTCTGCGAAGACAGCTGAGATATAAGTCGTTGAGTTCTTCGGCTTGCCGAATGCTTGACTAGCCTTGGAGATCCAGCGTGTCACCGACATAAGCAAAATTTCCATGGTTTTGATTTGGTTACCATCGGAATAAATTCGAGGAGGAGGAAAAGGCGGAGGAGAAGAAGTGCAGTGTTGCGTGTTGAATGACAGCTGGTGCATGAATACCGTTGTGTCTGTGTTGATAGTCAGTCCAAATTTTGAGTACTCGACGGCGAGGGGGTCCATGCTCTGTGGCATGTGTACTTCGGTCGTGGTGTTAAGCGTGCAGTCGTCGACGCAGAGTAGGCCGTGGACGGTAGTCGAAGATAGCCATGTGGGAGCCTAAATGCACCTAACTTTGAGAGGATTCTCGTCAGATCTGTAGGTTATGCGTATCCCGGGAAGCACATCATGGCAGGCATCCATCACCATCTAAGAGAACTTGAGACTGAATAGAGTGGGAGCGAGTAAGCAACCCTGCTTTACTTCATTGGTCACCGCTAATGCCTCGGAGATTGTGCAGTTGTCCGTGACGCCATCATTCGGTATTGGAGCAGTCGTACAAATAGAAGCGAAGGGACGAGTCCCAGGAAGCAATCGTGAAGGAGAAAAGATCACTGGCAGAAGAGCTTTATTCTCCCCACGTTTCGGATTCCTGCTCGAACGCACCATCAGAGACAAAAACAGATACGGATTGTTCAGGTACAAGGGGCCACAGTATTTATAGGATGCAGTCGCCATGCTACCGCATACCTACGAATATTCACGACTCCCCCCCTTCATCAGAGATAGTCGCACTTGGTGTGATGGCTGTTTGATGGCCGACATTCGCGTCGTTAATTGCTGCAATCTTATCACGTCTGTTAAATGTTGGTGTGATGATTGCTCAACTACCTGATCCACCGACGCTGGCGTTGGAAATACTGCTTATCTGTGTGCTCCCCGCGTGGCTTATTACTGTACTTTACAGGGCAGACTACCTTGGAAAAGCCGAAGGTCTAATGGAGCGCAGACACTTCTATGTCCCATGAGCAAGGAACTCTGTAAAAACGCCGAGACGCAAAATTAATGCTACGTTGTTGGTCTTGGAGAACTCAGGTGCAATAACACCGACCGACGGACGCATGGTGAGACCTCAAAACACGGCTTTGGCCCGATCAAATGGCCTCCCTAAGGTGCACAAAGAGGACGCGCCTCTCCGACCCATCGTGTCGCTCAAAAGTACTCCAACGTACGGACTGGCTAAGTGGCTGTTCCGGCGTCTCAAGTTCCTGATCACTGGGTCAGACACCACGGTCTTTTCGTCAGCACAATTCCTGTAGAAACTCAATGGGGAAAACCTCCTTCCGAATGAGATCACGGCATCTATTGATGTTAAGTCCCTTTTTACTTATATTCTGCAGGACCTGATGATCGAGACAATTGAGCTGCTTCCAAAAAACAAATACGATGAAACGGAAAATCGTCTTGGACACGCCCAAGTCCTTCATTTCTCGAAGTTCTGTCTCAGGACGGGACAATCTACGAAAAGGTGAAGGACACACCAATAGGTTCGCCGATTTCGCGATTCATCGCCGAGGCAGTCCTGCAACGGTTAGAGTCGCTGATCTTCCATAACCACAGACCGAAATTCTGGGCCCGGTAGGTGGATGACACCTTCGTCGTCCTCGAACGGGATCAGGTGTTGACATTCCAAGAACATCTCAACGCCGTCTTCCCGGACATTCAATTTACGATGGAGGAGGAAGAGAACAACCAGCTGGCCTTCCTGGATGTCCTCGTATGTCGCAAAGATTGTGGTGAACTAAAAACCAAAGTGTTCAGGAAAGCGACAAATACGATGCAAGTACTGAACTTCAACAGTAACCACTCAATCAGCCACAAACGCAGTTGTGTAAGGACGCTCTATCGGCGTGTCGAAACGCACTGCAGTGAGCCGGAAGACAAAATTGCCGAACTACAATACCTCCGACGGGTTTTCAAAGCCAATGGCTACCCGCGCAACTTCGTCAACCGGTGCATACGCAAAAGGGACGAAAGGCCTAACCGCAAGGACACCAAATCTTGGCGAGCGCTTCCGTATATCAAGAACGTTTCGGAAGCTGTCGGCCGCCTTCTCGCGTCACTTGGGATTGGAGTTGTACACAGACCTGAGGCAACCATCAGGCTCCAGTTAATGAAACCGAAAGACCCGCTGCCACGGCAATAAACGTCTGGAGTCGTTTATCGGATCTGGTGCAGTTATTGACAAAGCAACTAGGTCGGCGAGACCGGAAGGCCGCTCCGAACGCGGATAGCTGAACACGCTGCAGCAGTACGGGGAAATGACGCCAGTTCTCAAGTTTCGGCTCATTCGACGAGATCAGGCCACACATTCAAGTTCGTAGAGGCTGAAATTCTCGCAAGAGGTGACAACCGAATGAGCCGCAAGTTGCTTGAGTCGTGGTTCATTGGCTCCCAGTCCATTAACAAGTGCAGCGAACTTCCCCCTCCATATTCGGTGCTCAGACATCGCCTAGTCGGAGCAATTTTCCACGCGGGGAGCGCACATATATACAGTATGTCCAACGCCAGCGTCGGTGGATCAGGTGGTTGAGTAGGTGGTTAAGTTTGAATTTTTCAACCTCCGAGGGCTTTACCTTTTCCGAGTCTTTTGAGTGCTGAACACCGTGACGGCCTGTCGGATTTAACAAGTCGATTCTTCATAGAAATATCTCGATTCTCACAGAATTGCAACGGGAGTTTCGTCCGGAAAACCTATCTCCTTCCGACCACATCTCTGACGACCGCACCGCGATATTCTCCAAATACAAGAACGGCTGAGTCGTTTGCTATTTACTTCATACCGTTGGTCTCGCTTAAAATCGTTTCCATACCGTTACAAACGTTTCAAGTTTATTTGCTTAACAATGGTAGTCGATCCAGCGTCCTCCAGACATTGGGCATAAAACCCGCCCCGCGACGGGGCCGAACCTGGGCAAGAGAGTGACGGTGAAATTTTCGCTACCACTACGCCATTAACGCGCGGCCGGCGGCTTGACAAAAATGATAAAGTAACCGAAAGACGCTGTGTAAATGAAAACTGCGATAAGTCTTCTGCTGTCAAATCATCACCCGCCAAACGCACAAGGAGCCTAATAACTGTATTGGATGGGAAATACGAGGACGAAGCCTGCGCGTCATGTTTTAGGCTTCTTCAGAAAATCTTGGAGATGGAGAAGGATATTAGGAATCTAAGAATTAAGATGGAGAAGTTGATGAAACTTCCTCACTATTCATCCGAAAGAAGAAAGATGGCGATGTCGGAAGTTCAGAAGATGACCAGAAAAACGGCCAATACGACTTCAGTAACTGAATTGGCCCCTGGAAAAGAAGACAGCCCGTCTACGGACTCAATCACAACCGAGACCCTGTCTCATGTGCGAGCGAAAAATAACCGCAGGGCATCCCAAAAACCAAGACACGTCTCAAAGCATCCCGAAAAGACAAAGTATGTCAGAGCGTCAGCAAGGAAGAGCAGAGTCCACACAGAATGCAAACAAATGCCTCACTGCCAAATGAGGTACCACATGACCAAGACGCCTCGATAAACGAGGAACCCTGCGGTAGCTATAACATGACAACTGTCTCTGAATTGGACATTGATGACAACAAGAATTTTCGCAATGCAGCCTCTGCGTATAAAAACAAACGACAGCGCCCTATTGATCGCAATAAATGCATCATCGTAAAGGGTATGCCTGAGTCTTATTCATACATCCCAAAGAACAGAATAAACCACGATATAGAATTATTCCAGCATTATCTCAAATACCTATTACAAGAGAACGAGAACATCACCGTATTAAAAGCTCTCAGAATAGGACCAATTAGGGATTTGAAGGACGACCCCGACCATCATAGACCATTAAAAATCACTCTCGAAAGTGAGGAACAAGCTCTATTACTGCTGAACAGGAAACCAGCACTGCGAGATGCCCACCCGACAATTTTTTTCTGCGGGATTTCTCAGCGGCCGAACGGGAGAAGTGGAGGGAGCTCAAGGCCGAACTCCTCAGAAGATACAATTCTGGCGAGAGAAACCTAAGAATATTGAATGGGAAAATAGTAAATGTTCGGAGCTCATTCCTCTGGAGACAACCAATAACACTGAGCATAATGAACAATCAGATAATAAGGAAAGAACGCTCCTATCTGACAAACCGATCAGAGGAAACTACGACCAACACACTAACATCCAGCCTAATCAAACAGCAGTAGACTCGGAAGGGGACGATAGACCCGAAAACTCGCACGAAATATCCAACACCTTTGACTCAAAAATCGTTCGGGAATCTGCCCGGGCTAAGCTCCGCTTTCTTTATGCAAATGCTCAGAGTTTGTTCCAGAAGCTAGATGAACTAAAAGTGTGGATAACGGATACGCAGCCGGATGTCATTTCTATCACAGAGACTTGGTTCCAGACCGAAGTCTTGGATGCCGAAATTACACTCGATGATTACCAACTTTTTCGCCTGGACAGACTGCATAAAAAGGAG